TGCATTATACTAAGTGGAAGAAGCTAGACTCAGAGGTTACCTACTGTCTGCTTCTATTTATATAATGTTCTGGGAAACGCAAGTCTTGTAGGGATAGGAACATAGATCAGGGGCTTCCAAGGTTTAAAGGTATAGGAGGGTTTGATCCCAAAGGGGTTTCTCCGAGGGTTGTGGGACTGTTTTGTATCTTGATTGTAGTGGTGGTTATGTGACTGTGCATTTGCCAAGGCTCATAGAACCATATGCCAAAAAGAGTGAATTTTCCTGTTGCAGTAATCCAGGTAAAAGATGACAGCTTCAGCCGAGTGCTAACAGGTGGTTGGATTCTAGGCATAAAACCAGCAGGATGTTTTCATGAATTGGATGTAGGGTATGAAAGGAAGAGAAGACTCATGGATTGAGCCAGGGTTTGCTGCCCAAGCAAGTGGGAGAATGCAGTTCTCATGAACTGAGATAGGGCTGCTGGTGGGATGGGGAAAAAATGTAGGATTAGACATTTCATTCCCTACATTCATTTTGAGGTACCTGTTAGACATTCAAGATGCATATATAAGCTGTACATCTGAGAGTTGATGGCTCTTAGAGTCATGGCTGGTCCTAGTGATTTGGATCACCAGGAAGTGAGTGCAGAGAGAGGAAATAAGAGGATTGAGCTCTAGGGCCGTCCTGGGTCCATCTTTTGGGATACACTCATGTGTATCCTTGCAGGGCTCTTCTACACTGTTCAAGCAGATATAGAAAGGGAGTGCCTTTCTCAAAGAAGTACACATGTTACACATATGGGTGTGTACCTTACTTTCTTTTTCAGTTACTAATATACCTTAGAAATTATTCCCAAGTGGTATATAAACATTGTCTTTGTTCTTTTTGAGGGCTGCATAATATTCCACTCTGTGGCCATACCATGATCTCTCTCTCTTTCTCTTCCTGTTTAAAATTTTTACTATGGGGGTGCCTGGGAGGATCAGTTGGTTAAGCATCTGCCTTCTGCTCTGGTCATGATCCTGGAGTCCCGGGATTCAGCCCTATGTCGGGTTCCCTGCTCAGCAGGGAGTCTGCTTCTGCCCCCTCCCTGCTCCTTCTCTCCCCTTCTCAAATAAAAAAATAAATAAAATCTTTAAAAATAAATAAATAAAAATTTCACTATGGAAAATTTCTAACATATACAAAAAGTAGATAGAAAAAAAAAATGAATCCTCTCCCCACCCTGACCCATTACCCAACTTCAACAGTGATCAACTCATGGACAGGTTTAGTGTATCTAGACCACCATACACTCTCTTTCTTTCAAAATATTGTTTCTTGGTAACTTGTTATTTTGATGTAATTGTAAACTTACCATAACATCTATTTTTACAGATATTTCAGTTGTGTTTAATATTTTATTGCTGTAAACAATATAGTAAAGAAATAGTACAACATGCCTATTCACAAAGACCACATTCCCTGGTGCCCAAAAGGACAAAGGGTTGGGAACTGAAATGCTTTCAGAACATCTCTCTTGAGGAATGGGTCCTGAACACTGAACACAGATCTCAACTTTCTCTTGGAAAGTCTCCTGGCCTTGGCCTCTACATTTCTGTTGTTTTTTTTTTTTAAGATTTATTTATTTATTTGAGAGCAAGAGAATGAGTGGGGGGCAGACAGAGAGGGAGAGAGAATCTCAAGCAGATTCCATGCTGACCATAGAGCCCAGTGAGGGTTTGGATCTGAAACCAGGAGTCAGATGCTTAACCAGCTGTGCCACCCAGGCACCCATGCCTTTCCATTTCTGGCCCCAATTCCAGTGTGTGGGTTTTCCCACACCACCAAACAATTGCCTAATACCAGCTGGGTGTTGTTAAAAGATAAACTGAGGCATATTAGCAATTTTAAGAGTTTGAGCAAAAATTGATTAAAAGCAGGCAGCATCCTATCTAGCAGACAGAAAGAAGCACTGAGGAGCTGTATGAAAGACTTATATAGGGCAAAAGGGAGCGGGAACAAGGAAGTTATACCAGGCGAAAAAGTGGGTTGGTTATCACAAGTTTGTAAGGTTATTTTCCTTTAAGAGATGATGAGAATCTATTAAGCTGATTACCTAACTAGTGCTGATCAGGTGATTCCTCATTGACTGGTTTAAGATTCCATTTCTGGGAGAGTTGAAATTGTAATTAAGTTAATTCTCAGTTTGTTGACATAGGGCTTTGCATAAGCGACTCCATTTTGGGCCGGTTGTCTCGCTTTTACCAATGTTGTTGGGGTTCAGGGCAGGGTGCCCCCAATTATGCCACTTTGGTAAATGGATTATTTTGAATTAAAGTTACTTAAGAAACAGCCAGTACAATAAGGACATTGTGACCCTTTTCTTTTATCTCCGTGAAGGCAGGAAATAAATTTCCCATGTAAAGGGTACCTGGGTGGAAGACATCCTTATCCCAGAGATAGGGAATTAAGACCCAGAATGCTGTATAAATAAACCTTGTTTCCTTTTTCACTAATTTGCTACCCCAAGCTCCAACTTCTTTTTCTTGTCAATTCTTCACAGACTTATTATTTCTTTATCTAAAAGGTAAAAAAGCTGCGTGCTTCGGTTACTTCTTTGAGTCTCATGTTTTTATCAGTTTTCATATGTACAAAACTAAATTTGCTTAGTTAGCCTGTGACTCTGTCTTATGTCAATTTAATGATTAGGCCAGCCGTAGAACCTAGGAAGGAGGAAGGGAAAAGTTTTTCTTCCCCTACAGTGTCCTACAATTCAACTCAATTCTGTCACTATTTGCCTGGAGATCAGTTCCACATGTTAAGGGTTCAGTCCTATGAGACTGCCTTCCACCCCTTCAGAAAGCCAACTGCAAGTTCAGCTTGTCACCTGTGCTTCTGAGGACCAGCTAGCTATGGATGGGACGTTCCAAAGACCCTCTCCTCAACTTCAATTAATTTTTTATAGCAGCTCAGAGAACTCAGAGAAACAACTTACTGGATTGCAAGTTCATTACAAAAGGATTTAACTCGGGAACAGCCAGATGGAAGAGATGCATAGGTCAAGGTATGTGAGAAGGGACATGGAGCTTCCATGCCTTATCTGAGCTTGCCACTTTCCTTGAACATGCAAGTTCTCTGAACGCTATTCTTTTGGGTTTTTAGGGAGGCTTCATGATCCAGGCATGACTGAATAAATCATTGGCCATTGGCAATTGATTGAATCTCCAGTTCCTCTTTTCTCCCCTCTCCAGAGGTTGGGGGTAGGACTGAGAGTTCCAACTCCAATCACTTGGTTGGCTCCCCTGGTGGCCAGCCCCCATTCTTAAGTGCTTTCCAAAAGTCACCCCAAGAACATAACAAAAGACACCTTTCTCACTGTCATCACAGGAAATTCCAAGGGTTTTTGGAGCTCTGTGCCAGGAGCAGGCAGAAGACCAAGTAAATATTTCTTACTATAAATCACAATATCACAGCCTATAACTGACTCTCCAGAGCTTTTGCCTGTGACATTTTAGAAGGCCACAGGTTCAGACTAAAATCTTGGAAATATATTTTCAGAATAAGCTTACCGTGCAACTTTTTCTCTTCTGTATGGGTATTTTGTGTGCAAGCACCCAGCAGTAACTTTTCCACAAGTGAGTGCCATGTGCCCGACAAACAGAAGGGTCCTACCTGGCCCTTCTCTAAACCCCTGCCCTAAGTCTTCACCCTGTGTTGTGCATGTGTCTCCTCGAGTGGTGGTTGCATGGTGTTAGCTATCCCAACACATGTCCTCCTCTTCTCTGCTGTACAAGGAACTGAACAAACTGAGCCTGCTTCTCCCAGGGACTCTGTTGCTAGTGCAGGGCCTGGACCACAGGAGGCATCAGGGAGCAGTTACTGCCAAGTTGACTATATCAGAACATGACCCGGCTCATTACAGATGGCAAACTGGCTGCCAAACACATGTGCTTGGCTACCTTAGTGTTTAAATTAAAAGCTAAATTAGTTGTTGACATGTAAAAGATTGCATATAGAAATTTCATATAGAAACACTCTCTTCTCTTGAAAAATGGGAAGATGGGCAATGTTGGGCTGGCATTCCTGCCATTCCTGCCTGGTATCAGTTGGCTGGAACTGAACAGTGTCTTCCTCTACAAAGGAAGCTCTTCAGGTCTCCAGTCTCCACACTCACGGGCATCTAAGCCCTGCTAATATCTCTCCTTGAGTCATCTGCCTAGCCAGTGAAGACCCCTGTTTGTGACCCCTGGCTGTTAGCTGTGGTTGACAACCTTTTTAGTGGCTCCAGACACTTCAAGAATCTCGTGAGAGTCATGTACCCTCTCCAGTACAAGCACATAGCATAACATTTTACATACAATCTGGAGCTCTGCACCCCTCCTGAGGCCAGGCTGCAGACCCGCAGGGCGAGAACTCTTGAGTCAGAGATGACATCTTTCTCTGCCATCTTCTAACAGCCTTTAACAGATTCCGCCATGCTGGCTCCTGCTTAACATTCCAGCCTCAGCTCAATCAGCAACCCGCGACAGGCCTTCCCTTGACCATTCATTGTTAATTAGCTATCCTCCCTTCTGGCGCGCTAGTGCTCTTAAACTCTGCTTTTATTTTCCCTGGAAGGCTTCTCCCTCTCTGAAACGATCTGGCTTAGGCGTTAGTTCACCTGTTTATTGTCTGACCCCCACCCGCGCTCCAATACAGTATAGCATGGAGAGAGCACTGTATCCCAGTGCCGTGAAAAAGCAGTGCCTGGTACTCAGTAGGCACTTAATAAGAGCCTGTTGAATGAATGGATGGATGGATGGATCCCCCCATTCTCAGTCTCCTCGAGGCATCGGGTGGCAGGAGCCAGGTGAGAGAACAGCCGCACAGTTGGTGACCTTGGTTAAGTCCCGACCCCGGAGCCCCCTCCTCCTGAGCGGTGCCAGGCAGCGCCCGCAGGCGCCGAGACGGCGGAAACTTCGGGGCCGGAACGGGCGTGCCCGGCCCGCGGGTTGCGGGGGGGGCGGCTTAACCGGCCGGACCGTAGCGGCGGCGGCGGGCGGCGGCGGCGGCGGCGGCATGGCAGGTCGGCGGGTGAACGTGAATGTGGGCGTGCTGGGCCACATCGACAGCGGCAAGACGGCGCTGGCGCGGGCGCTGAGCACCACGGCCTCCACCGCCGCCTTCGACAAGCAGCCGCAGAGCCGCGAGCGCGGCATCACGCTCGACCTGGGCTTCTCGTGCTTCTCGGTGCCGCTGCCAGCGCGCCTGCGGTCGGCGCTGCCCGCTCCCCCGGCGGCGTCCGGAGCCGAGCCCGGGCCCGGCGAGCCGCAGCTTCAGGTCACGCTGGTCGACTGCCCCGGGCACGCCTCCCTCATCCGGACCATCATTGGCGGTGAGCGCGGGCCGGGGCGGGAGCCGGGCTCGGGGACCCTGGGCGGAGCGGCCGGGCGCCGTGTCTGAGCTCGCCCAAGCCGCTGCCGGGGAAGGGAGACGGCCTCACCTCACGGCCGGCATCCCCGCTCCCCCCAGGTCGCAAGAGGAGGACGGGGCTCGCCCAAGGCCCCGCGCGGCAAGGGAGCGGAGGTTCTGGGACTCGAACTCGCGGCGGGCTGACTTGGAACCTCTTCCCACCCAGCACAACCGCGCAGGAGTGCCTCCTTAAAGTTTTTGGTTTTGTTTTTTGCTTTTCTGTTTTCAAGATGAGTTTGTAATACACGAACAAGTACGAAAACTCAAAGGCTACCAAAAGGGTATATGTAAAAAGTGTCAAAAAAAAAAAAAGAAGTCTCCACTCACCTGTTCTTTGGTCTCCCGGTTCCCATTTCCAGAATCAACCAGAGTCAACCGCTGTTCCCAGTTCCTAGTATCATTTCAGAAAAACTCCACGTAAAGAAAAGCATACCCATGCGTAAACCCCCGTCCTCTTCTTTCTCTTCACAAAATAGTAGACACTATTTTAGTCAATACCAACGGCTCCATATCTGTACACACAAAGCTATATTATTATTAGGTCTTAGAGAGGCAGAGAGAATCATAAGCAGGCTCCACGCCCAGCACAGAGCCCTGGGGGGGGGGGGGGTCTTGATCTTAGGATCCCAAGATCATGACCTGAGCAGAAATCGAGTCTTAGGGGACTGAGCCACCCAGGCGCCCCAAAAGCTATATTTTTAAGGGTCGTATAAAATTCCATTGTACACTTGTGCCAACGTTTTCTTAAATAACTCTTAATGATGGACACCTATGTCATTTCCAGTTTTTGCTAATGATGCTTCAGTGAATTTTCTAGAACAAGTCTGGTGGGGGTGCTAATCTATCTGTAGGATAAGCTCCTAGAACTGAACTGGCTTGGGGCAAAGGGCACATGTATTTGCAGTCACGATGGGTATTGCCAAAATTCCCTCCAAAGATGTACCACTTAATTAATTTTTAATTATACAGGTAGTACATGAATAGTTCTGCTTGTGAAGAAATAGAGCATTTCAAATTAGGTAAAGGTCCCCTAATTGCCCCTCCTATTTCTCCAGAGGAAGCCACTGTTGTACCTTTGTGCATTACTTTTCTGGACACATTTTACCACAGTGGTAAAGCCCTGTGGACAAGGCTTTAAAACTTGCTCTATTTTTAGAGGAAAATGATGAAATAATAGAAGCACCTGGCACAAAAGGGTATACAGCTAAAAGAAGTCTTTTCTTCACTGCTGACCCGAGTGTTTGGTTGCTTTCCTCTTTTCCATTGCCTTCTGTTTCCTTCCAATTATGTGATATTCTCTACACCTACAAGCACATATGGGAATATATATTGGGCAGATGGTTTTATTGGCTTGGTGGCAGATGGCCTCATTGGTCGCTGGGCATACTGGCTCCCAGTTGTAGTGATGAGTGTGTTAAGTACTTTAATCTTTGTTACCTCCCAGCTGTTCATGCTGCAGGCAGTCTGAGGTGATTTCCCCATTTTAAGTAGAGGAAGTGGAGGCTCAAAGGGAAGGGACCTGCCCAAGGTCACATGGCCTAAAGTCTTCCACTCAAGTCGTGTTTCAGTCATCAGATGAATGTTAAGGGTCATGTGATCCTCTCTACCCTTTTCCCCTTCCCTTGTCTTAACAATTCTGTTTACTCAAGTCCAAGTACATTTTAAGACAGGTACTCTGAGCCAGTCTAGGTTGGAGATGGAAGAGCCAGGTTAAAATAAAACAAGAAGGCACTTTTAGGTTTTGTTGTTGTTGTTGCTGTTTTCAGTAAATAGTGTAGGTGAGTAATGAAGGACATGCTTTTGAAGTCAGAACTGGGCTCGAGGCCTGGCTTTTTCCTTTACTAACTGTGCGACCTTTGAACCTAATTTTGGACCTTCCACACACTGGCAGATAGCAACCACACAGGTCTTTATTGGTTTTGCTTTTCTCACATGTTTGCCACTTCCCAGGCAGACCCTGTAAGGAGTGTGGTGGTTACCATTTAATAGTTGAAGTTGGGACATGGGGAGGCTGCTGGTAAGTGGCACCCAGGTCCCCCTGGTCCCAAAGCTGGAGCTCTTTCCTATGCTTCCTCAGATCATTTTATGCTCCCCCTGCCCCCCTTCTAACATATCCATTTATAGAGAAGCTCTTTGTAGGACAAAATGTTTCAGGTGCCAGCCTTATCCTATATAACCAAATTTTAATGCCTCCCAAGAATTTGGCAAATCCTTAGTTTAGACTGTAAAAGAAAAGAAGAGGAATTTTTTCTCTTCTTGTATGTACACCGTGGTTCTTCTTACTTTTCTCTCACCTCCTGAGTGAGGAGACTTTCCTTACCTTCTTACAGGCATTAAAATGCAACCTGAACACAGTGGTATGGTGAGACCAAGGCTGCCACTATCCTTCCTTCCGTAGATCAGATTCCCACCCTTTTCAGAGAAATGAGAAAAAAATGAGGGAAAGGGCACCCACATTTGAGTACCTGCTCTGGCCCATGCCTGTTGCTAAAAACTTGCATTTGTGCAACAACCCCAAGTGGTGGGAGTGTTAGGCCTATTTTTCCGATAAAGGAACTGAAGCTTGGAAAGTATCAAGTACCCTGGGCTGGTGTTTACCTAACTGTGCTGCCCCTAACCTGGATCTGGTTAATACCTTCAGTTATCCTCATGACTCATAAATCCATAGCCATCTTTGCCTTCTTGAGATTGCTCCAGAGGCCAAATCCCTGCCTCTGGCAGCTGGTCTCCTACAATGCAGGACCTACTTCTCACTGACTGCTTGCCCTCCTCTTCCTGCTACTCCATTTCCATACAAAAGGCAGCAAAACTCTTTTTACAGAGGTTCAGCAGATCATGTCAGCCCTCAGCTTCAACACTTCCCAGCAGCTTCTCTTTGTGCTTAGAGTAAAATCCAACCTCCTCTCTGTGGGCCGCAGAACCCACGATCTGGCCTCCCTCTTCCTCTGAGCTCATCCCTTGCCCTGACCTTCAGTCTCACTGGCCTCCTTTTTACTTATTGAATGGGCTAGTTTTGCACCTGCTGTTCCCTCTTTTTGGTACATCTGGCTCCTCATGTATATCTCAGCTTGAATGTCCTTTAGAGAGGGCTCCTCTGAGCTGCCTAGCTAAAGTATCCTCAATTCTCTCCCCCAGGAATTTTCTCATGTCCCTGTTTTACTTCCTTACAGCTCTTTTCACTACCTGATAACTCTTTTATGTGTTTACTTGTTGACTGTGTCTGTCCTCCATGAGAGCAGAGTAGGAATCATGTCTGGCTTATTTACCAGCCTATTCTCAGCATTTGGGCCAGAGCCAGGTGTGTGGTAGGCATTTGGTAAGTCTGAATGGATGAAGCTGTGTCCCACTTCCTGGGCTGGATGGTAATAGTGAGCAAAGAACTTTCTTCATGGGTTAGTGGACAGAAAGCAATCAGCATGGGGCCTGGCCTATAGTAGGTACGTTACGCTTGTTGATTTTTTTCTCTCCCTCTGGGAGCTAACAGCAGAACTGGGGAGAGGGCACTCTCCGATGTGCAAAGTGACCTATCAGAGCTTTTTCCATCCAGGACAAAAGCAGGAATAACTCACTTTGCTGGGCAATGGGATATAGGGCATCATGGGGGAAAGAAGAGCTTTCCTAGTGGAGGAAATGCCTGGTCAGGGCTCTGTGCCTTAAACCTGACTTTTTGTCTGTTTAGAGTCTGAGGTAACTGCTAGCATTTAGCTGTGGCTGGAAATCAGCATGCTGTGTGGGGAGGTGTGACGAAGATGAAGGTAGAAGGGTTGGTGGGCCAGATCCTCTAGAGTGCTAAGTGTTGAACTTAGATTAGGTTAGGCCCTTAGCATAGATTTCTCCTAAGGGCCTTGGCAGCATTTTAAAGCAGGGTTGTGACAAGATCAGGCCTCAGTGTTAGGACGATGCAAGATTCCCAGGCAGGGACTCTTACTGGCAGCAGGCAATGCACCTACACCTGGGATTGCTGGAAGATTGGGCTCTTGTTAGAATTCCTGGCTTGCTGTGAGTGATTTAGACCACTTGCTGAATACATTAGCCCTAGTAGAAGGAAATTAGAATGATTGTCTCAGTTCTGTGATAATGTCTCCGAAGTTTAATATATCTTACATTAAAGCCAGTTCTCTTTGATTCTCTTGCTCCCCCCAAAGTCTTTTCACTACCCAAAAGATTCCTTTCTTAACTTAGAGAAAATTGGGCTTTATCTCCTCGATCTGTGTGGCCATAGATAAAACTCCTGCGGTACCAGAGGGAGGTTAATAGTGACAGTAGTACTTAGCCTTTACTTAGTGCTGCCCTTAAGCTATATTTCCCCCCATTTAACTCTCAAAGCAATCTTGTGAGGTAAGAGATGGTATTCCCATTTTACAGGTGAAAAAGCAGGCTCAGAGAGGTCAGGCAGGTAGCACAGTTCATAAGTGTCAGGGCTAGGTTTGAACCTATGTTGATCTGACCACACAGCTCCTACTCTGGCATTCTCAATGGGAATGAAAAAGCGTATCCGTCCACTGCAGCCCCTATAGTAGTGTTTCAGGGCAGTATTTTTCTCTGATCCATTTTAGAGTATAAATCTTTCAGGGTTAGAACTTCAAAAAGATTCAGTAATGTATGTTTTAAAGACTTGGGTGGGGGTGAGGGACTTGGACCCATCCTCAATCTAACTCTGGCAGGAAAGAGGAGAGCTGAAAAATGCTGGTATCTTGGCTTGGCAATTTATAGTCCTCTTGTGGCTGCTAGGATTAACAGTGTATTGTCTCCTGGTCTTTTGTTCCAGTTGTTAATGAACAGCAGCTCTTCTGCCACGACTTGTTGCCCTGATCTCTTGCCTCCTCTGCCCACCACTTAAGTGGTGCTTCCTGCCTGGCTTGGACCCTCTCTGGGTCTCTGGGTCCTCCCTGGCTGGAGCTGATGAGAGCTGCCAAAGCCTTG